ATCATTCATGACATGGGTGAGACAGTACACAATTTAAAACTGATGAATTATTTCTGGAATTTTTAATTTAATATTTTTGGACCACAGTTGGCTGTGGATAACTGAAATAAGAAATGTGAAACTGTGGATTAGGGGAGACTACTGTATTCCAATAAATATTATCTTTTAAGGACCTCATCATAGAAGGGTGCATTGATCCTTTGGTTGCTTAATCAGATACATTCTCAGAAGATGCAAATTTGTCACATGTCACATATACTCTCAATTGTAAAGACCACTTCTTAAGAGTCATTCCTACAGTGGTAGAGAAATATGTTTGGCAATAAATATTTGGGCAGTTTCCCCAAAGTGACAGCTAGGGAAGTTTAACTTTTTCTTAGATCTCTAATTTTTTTTAAGCCAAATCATGTTATAGTCACCTTAACATAAAATACCTTGCCCTTATCATGTTTCTGAACTAGGTGAGAAAACTAACGGGTTTCAATGAGAAAACTAATGGAGAGCAAATAACAGGACTATCTCGTATAGTGGTAAATTATATTATGGGTGTTACATTCTGAGAGGTTAGAGCAGATGATGATCATTGAAGGCAGGCCTGGCTGAGCGGCAGGATCCTAGATGGCCATGAAGGATGGTCTTCATTCTCCTTCTCTGCTGCTATGAGGTCTGGATTCCTCTGATTCCTCTGTTTATATCCTCTTTTTACTAAGTACCTAATAAGTTACTTATTTTCATTCATGTATAGTTCACCTGTTAAGGCCTTGTGATTTTTATTTAGTAATCTTGTCTAAATGACCATCTTTGTTTTTATTTTTTTGCAGTCTTTCATAGGGTGGGCTTTGCAACAGCACAGATCAAGATTTGAATTCAAACTCTAGTACTAATGTCTTGTGTAAATTCATCACCCTCTCTTATTGTCTTCTTATTTATTTTTAAAATATATTTTATTGATTTTTCACAGAGAGGAAGAGAGAGGGATAGAGAATTAGAAACATCGATGAGAGAGAATCATCAATCAACTGCCTCTTGTAAACCCCCTACTGGGCATGTGCCCGCAACCAAGGTACATGCACTTGACCGGACGTGAACCCGGGACCCTTCAGTCCACAGGCTGACGCTCTATCCACTGAGCCAAACTAGGTTTGGCATTGTTTCCTTATTTAATAGTCGCTCCTAGATAGGGCCCTGAGACTGAAATAAAATGAAAAAAGGGAACACAGAGCTGTGTCCGTACTCCCCGCCCCCCCCCGCTCCCGCGAAGGAGTGCTCATTAATGGCATCCAGGATGGAGGCAGTGGTGTTCATATAAATCCATGGATAGGAGTGGATAGGAGAGAGTCTCCACTTGGTTTTCACCACTTTGTCACTGTTAACCTCACCTGAATGTACACTTGCCAAAAGTAAATTACATTTCCCGTGACTTTTTAATAATCACTGCCTTAGAAACAGTAAAGATGGATTCAGATGCTTAGGGAGGTGCTCTTCTATTATCAACCAGTTGATTCATATTGCGGAGCAGAGACAAGGCAACATCTTCATGAGAGACTGGCCAAAAGCACAGGAGCTCTCGGAGCTCATGCAATCAGCCGGCACTGTGGACCGGGGCTTGGAAACCAATCTCAAAGAATTTATGCTTTAAATCAATGGCAGTTGTCAATGAGCCTGAGAGAAAAACCTTGCGAGACCCCTCTAGCTTTTATTGCAATTCATATTGATAATATCAAAAAAGAAAAGCCTCCCGAGTGAAAGGTCAATCTAATCCAATCCAATCACTTAATGCAGAATTATGGCATCAAGTTTCCACATTACTGAATGAATGATCACGTGTTTAAAGGTGTGCGCCATAGACTAGCTGTGGGTGTTAGACATTTAACGAGTTGTTTTGTTCTTGATGGTTGGCATTTGCTTAACTGTTTTCTTAATTCTAATTTATATTTTTATGTTCCTGTTTGCTTACATAGCCCATAGTTCCCAATCGTCTTTATTTGCTTAAGTGTTTCTTTACATTTATTTACATTTTTATATATGTTGCTGTGCTTACATAACTCATTGTTTGGAGTGGGCTGGAAATAACCATAAATCCACATCGCTAATTAACCTCATCCTCATGACTGATTAGTCAAGATTATGAGCCTAGAAGGAAGGCAAGGGGGAGGCCTGATTGCGAGTCACAGGATCATTAAATTTTAGAACTAGAATTTAGGTTTTTAAGGCATTTTCCAGATAGAATTCCACGATTTTACGTCTTCAATGTTGGAGAATTATGAAAGATTGGCTGCTTGCTCTTACTCCGTTATGCAAAAAAAAAAAAAAAAAAAAAAAAAAAAAAAAAAAAGTATAAGGATTTGGTGACAGCTTTGAAAAACAAGAATAGAGGACTATGAGTAACCCGTAATGGGGGCTTGAAATGAAACTTGACACATACATGGACCATCGAAGAGCTGGCAATACTAATGGGATGCGGGCCGTCGTCTTTGGAGGTAAGAAAGCAGAGTAGATTGTTTGGAACTCCTTCTCCAGAAGCTGAGCGCTTTGTAAGGATTTTAGCTTGCCTAACTGTAAGGCTAGCTATTGGCTTTGCAGTGGGGAGTATTTAAAAGTACACAAACATAGGAAGGAAAGAACCTGGAGCAGAGTAGCCAGCTTCATTCCAAGAATCCATCTGGCACCTAAAGAACTGCTTGTCCTACATTAAGCCCCGCAGAGTAAGAGCCATTTTTCATACTTCACACCCCTCTTTTTGGTTTCAGGTAAGGCAGCTTACTGAGTTTGGGGAAGAAACAAGGAGTGTTTTCAGAACCATCTAACCTGGGCACCCACTTAGGGTGAGCTCTATGAATCTCACCAAAAGTTTCCCTCTGTCTGGGGAAACATGTGGAAGCCTTGATTTAAAAAAAGTCAGGTTAAGAGAAAGCTCAACTGTCCACAAGAGGTGGAAGTCCAGATTTCCAAATAATGTGAGCTTTTAGTCATTTGTAAACAGAATGTAATGGAACAAGAGGTGTTAATCATATGAAAAGCTGTGGCTAGAATCACCAACATTAAATGATATGGTAGGTTGATAAGTGAAATCCAGTCCACCCCTAAATAAACATATTTTTGCAGCGTTTGTGTTTCTGGAGGCAGCTAAAAGCAAACACTGCCAAAGGACTAGTACCTACCTGTGTTTCCCCGAAAATAGACATCCTCCGAAAATAAGACCTAGCGCATGAAAAGATGACATCCCCTGAAAATAAGACCTAGCGTAACTTTGGGAGAAAAAATTAATATAAGACACCGTCTTATTTTTGGGGAAACAGGGTAGATTACAAGAAATTGCAAGATGTATAAAGGTGTTGTAAGGCTTAAACTAGTCCTGGATGTCAGGTCCCTTACCTCCTTACTTCTCTCGGTCCCATTTTCATATGCGCCCCCCCCCCCCTTAAAAAAATATATTTAAAAAAAGTTTATTGATTTTTTACAGAGAGGGATAGAGTCAGAAATATCAATCAGCCGCCTCCTGCACACCTCTCACTGGGGATGTGCCCGCAATCAAGGTACATGCCCTTGACCAGAATCCAACCTGGGACCCTTCAGTCCGCAGGCCGACGCTCTATCCACTGAACCAAACCGGCTAGGGCCATATGCTTCCCTTTTAAGGGAAAGTGTAGTCGGCTCAAATGTAGATCTTAGATAGTGGCTGTACCCTTACCTGGTCACCTCTTGAGGGACAGCACAAGGCCAGAGCGCTGGCGCCAACTCCTAGCAGCGCCCTTTCGGTTACCATGGTGATCACAGGAGGGGCGGAGCCTCTAGCCCCTGCTTACCCGCCTGTGTCCCTATTTCGAACGCTCCAATTGGGACAGCCCTTCGTGCCTCTGTCCCGCCCCACTCGGCTCCGAGAGCGATGCGATTGGCCCGGGACCAGCGGCCAGGCACTCGGAGGGTCCCACCTCCTGACAGGAAGAGCGGGAAAATGTACCTGGCATTGTCCGAGGCGTGAAGCTCGCCGCGCTTTGGAGAAGCACTTATAGTTGGCTTCGGAGCGAGTTGCCTGGTGTCCCATACACAACTCATCGCACCCATGACCGTTAACACTAGGTAGCAGGAGCCGGGGCCAGGTCACATGTGTGGTCCCAGGCGGGCCATTCAGGGGTGCGAGGACGCGGGCAGGAGTCAGGATGCCCTGGCGCGCACCCGGGTGCCCGGGATCAGAGGCCAGAGGGGGCGGGTCGAGCTCCGGGAGCGGGTCCAGCGGCGGCGGCGGGAGGCGCGGGGACCAATGGAGCGCGCGAGCCGCCCCCGGGGGCGGGGCGTGCACCGCGGGCCCCGCCCTCCGGCGCGCCCCTCCCCTCCCCCCGGGCGCCGGGCCGCAGTGAGTGAGTGGCACAGGCAGCCTGTCAATCCCTCAGCCCGGCGGCCTTCGAGCCCTGTCCGCGGCGGCTGCTGGCAGGGTGCGCGGCTCCGGCGGCGGCGGCGGCGACTTCTCCCGCCCCATCAATCTGCTGTCGGCCCGGCGCGCGGCCCGCCGGGGCCCTCCACCGGGCTCCGCGCCCCCGCCGCGCCGGCCCGCCCGCTCCCAAACTTTCCTCCTCCGCCCCCCTCGGCCCACCCGCCGGCCTCCTCCTCCTCCGCCGCGGCCCGCCGCCGCCGCTCCCTCCCCCGAGGCCTCGGGGGCCCGGTTCCCGCACGGCCGAAGCGGTGGAGGCGGCGGCGGCGGCCGAGGGCGGGGAGTGCGCAGGCTGGCGCGGCGGACGGCGGCGGGCGTCCCGGCAACTCGGCCGGCGCTGAGGAGCAAGTTGAGCGGGGCCGCCCGGCGGGGTGCGCGGCGGCGAGGAGGCGGCGCGGCGGCCGCGTGAGGGCAGCGGGCGCCGCTGCCTCCGCCTCCGCCACCGCCACCGCCACCGCTGCGGAGCCCGGCGCTTCCGCCCGCCGCTTCTCCTCAGCCTTGGCGGCGGCGGCGGCAGCGGAAGCCCGAGCCGGGAACCCGTCCGCACCGCCTCAGCCGCGGGCCCCGCCGGCCGGGCAGCCCCCTCCCCGCGCGGGCGGGCGGGGAGCGCGCGGCCGCCTCCCCCTCCCCCTCCCCCTCTTTCTTCTCCTCCCTCGTCGCCGCCGCCGCCGCCGCCGCCGCCGCCGCCTCAGCCTTCGCCTCAGCCGCCGCCGCCGCCCGCTCCCGCCCGCGCGCGGCGGGATGGACGATCAATCCAGGATGCTGCAGACTCTGGCCGGGGTGAACCTGGCCGGCCACTCGGTGCAGGGGGGCATGGCCCTGCCGCCGCCCCCGCACGGCCACGAAGGGGCGGACGGCGACGGCAGGAAGCAGGACATCGGCGACATCCTCCACCAGATCATGACCATCACCGACCAGAGCTTGGACGAGGCGCAAGCAAAGTTGGTGTCGTCTCATTAAAGCATCTTTTGTGTGTGTTCGCGCGCGGGGGCCGGGGCGGCGCCGGGGGCAGGGGCCTCAGCCCCGGGCAGGGAACTTTCTCCGAAAGCCGGCGGCCCGCCCGGGGGGCCTCGGGGGACCCGCTTGCGCCCCCGGACGCGGGCGGGAGTCCGCAAAGTTGCTCCCGGGGGCTGGGGCGGACTTGGCGCCACGCGGAGATCGTGGTTGTCTCCCCCCCGCGCCGTCCGGCCTCCGGTGACCCGGCCCCCGCGCGCGGATTCAAACCTCCCGCCCGCCCGCCCGGACCCCGTGCACGCTGCCCGCCCGCCGGCCCGGCGAGGGCTCCGGGCCGCCGCGGAGGAGGGAAGTGCAACTTTCTCCTCGGACCCGGGCCCGGCGCCGGCCTCCGCTTGGCCGCGGGATGACCTCGCCCGACGGGCGCGGGGCGACGGGGTGCTCCCCGGCCGGGCCGGGCGCGGGCGGCCAAGTTCGCGGGGACGGGAGCAAACTTTGCCGAGCTGAGCTGTCAGCGGGGCAGGGCGGACGCGGGAGCCCCCTCCGCGCCGTCCCCGCCCGCGGGCCGCCGCCGGCCTGGGCCCCGGCTCCCCGGGCGGGTTCGCGCCCCGCGGTCCGTCGCCGGGGCTGCCGCCCGCCGGGCAGGCGGGTCGCCCGCGCGGGGCTCGGGCCGGAGCCGGAGCTCGCCGGCTGTCGCTCTCGCCAAGTCAACTTGAGTTTCTGTGGACTTTACCAGGGTTTTCAAAAGCGCTTTCCAAACCCTGGGAGCCGGCATTAAATCTTGGGTCTAACTTGTAGGCGCCATATTATTCCATAGGTGATGCTAATACCTTTGTGTTTTGCTCTTTGCTCTCTTAGGAAACATGCCCTGAACTGTCACCGAATGAAGCCCGCGCTCTTCAGCGTCCTGTGCGAGATCAAAGAGAAAACAGGTAAGACGCCGCGCCCCGCCGCAGGCCCCGAGACCCCCCGCCCCCCGAGGTGGGGTCGGAGCTACTCCGTCGACTCCTCCAGTGGAGAGCTTGCTGCTTTTGGGCACCGCCATCTTTGATCATTCTCTCCTTCCCACCTCCTGATCTTGAGGAAAAAAAAAAGCTGCAATAAATCTGGAGTCGATTTCTCCGTTCTGTTCCCGGTGTACAATGAAGTGTAGATGTGGACGGGGCCGGGTCGCGGTCCCCGGGCGGCCGCCCCTGGCTGCGGGCGGGGAGGGGGCCCGGAGCGCCCGCCGCCCTTGCGCGCTCCTTTCGCCTTGTTTGTGTGTCAGTTTTTAAAAGGAGCATCGGGAAGCCTGGATGCCAGGGACCGGGTCCCCGGGAGAAGCATCGCCCGAACTTTGTTATACTTGGACAGCCTTAAGCGTCAGCTCCTCGGGTAGAAGAATAGATGTCATGGAGCAGACTTAAGTGGCACGTTTGAATTCGTGTTTTAGTTGGGAAGACTACTTTTTAAGAATCGAGAAAGGCTAATGATGCGTTTAAGCATATACAGTGTATCTCACCTATTAGTATTTCGAGTATATTTTATGCTTGAAGTAATTTTGTAAATATGCTCAATATATTTTATCAAGTATAAAAAGGTCACAGATGCAGGGTAAACAATTTTTTTGACGTGTTCAAGTCAGGGATTATGTGAGAAGACAGTTTGTGCAGAAGTGCTGGAATGAAAACTACAAGTGCATATTAGGTAAATCTCTGGCAATTAATTTCAATTTAATTTTTTTCTTAAGATTTTTTTAAAATGGAAGATACTTTAGTCTTGAACTGGCAGTTATAACTCAAGTGAAGTTATAGATTTCATCTAGATGTTTCAGTATTTGGTATTAGCTGCCCTGTTTATGGCAAACAAGTGCATTAAATAAGCTTTACTGTTTATTTATCTTTATTCATTTTTTTGGTGTGTGTTAGCTATATCATATTATAAAGTTGCCATTTTTTTTTTTTAAAACGTTTAGGCAAAGAAGAGAAAGTTAAAGTCTAGGATGTAACAATAGCCAAGTGATACTATTTAAAAGGTTAAGTGTGATTGCATTTAAATTGAGTACACAAGTAATAGCACACTGCATATAATTGTTAGTGACCCTCCTTTTAAACAGATTTTCACTCTGCGATGCTATTCTGATCCTAAAAGTAGTCAAGAAAGGATAATAGGTTATTGCTGTCTATTAAAATATATGCTAAAACCATAATTAATAGAAAATATTGACAGCCTTAACGAGTCGTTTTTTCCTATTTTTCATTCACTTTAGTATTCATGATTTCCTAATATTGAGTGATTCTTTTAAAGATATATTTCTCATTTCGTAAACCACCAACATGTTAAATTACTAACTTTTACCCTGTGTTGATTTTTAGCTATCTTTAGAAAGCATTGTGATTTGAAATGGTAGATAATTTTTATCGGACTGTAAAAGAAGACATTAAGTATGAAATCTTAAGGCTTCCTTAGGTTAGGAGTCTAAAAGTATGTAATTCTCAGTAAATTATGCTGCTTAATGTCCAAGGATTTTCTTGCTATCAGGGCTCCACTTCAGTTTCTGCTGACAGCTGAGCACTGGGGTATTGACTATGTTGTGAATATTAAGATTGATTCCACTTTATACGGCATTATATTACTGGGTGAGGGTATTGATATTTTCCCCTCACCCTCTTCTCATAATTTTTTTTTCTTTTTCCTTTTTAAAGTTTTGGCCTAGCCACCTTGAGAACCATACCCAGCAAACTGCTTTTCTTGTTTAGACATTTAGCAGCAGGCAGAATTCAATTAGGAAGCCTAAGTCCTCTAGTTGCTTATTTGCACAAGACTTAGTTACACCATTCTGAAAGGAAAGTGTAGTCAACCTCATGTCAAAGGTGAGTTACGAAAAAGAAACAAGTCTTTTCAGAGTCTGGCAGAAAAGCTTTGGTGTAGGGCTCTTGCTATTTAAAAAGCAAGAGGTAGCTGACAAAGGAAATTTTTGTGTCTGAAAATTGTTTGAGGCTTTCAGTGATAAATTGTAAATTAGGTCCTCTTTTTGTGCTTTGGCCAGGGGATCCAAGTTTGTATGTTATCTCTTTTGTAAAAAGCTAATAGCCGACAGAGTCAAGAAGGCTGTCTGGTTACAGGCATCTTCCTGCCAGCCTCTCTAAGCTCGAGAGGGATGGGATTTAAGTACCGAATGATTGATGGGGGTGAAGCTCTTTCTCTCCCCTCATTTCTCCCCTACTACCCATAGCTCCACCTCACAATCCAAAACTAGTCTTAGAAGGAGACAGGGAAGCTTGACTCAGAATCCCTGATTTGAAATAAAACAGCTGTGTAGACATGAGCCTCACCAAAGCAAAGAAAGCAGGGCAGCAAATTTCAGCTTCCCCCACCCCCGAATCGGTTCCATAGTCATGGTTTGGAAACATCATGAACTTATAAGCATTGTAGAATAGATTATATAATGGTTTTTTTTCTTTTAGATCATTTTATTATGTAACCTAATAATATAGTAGCCAAACGTTAATTTTCTGTGATTTAAATAAAGTTTACCTAGTCATTTAAAATAGAAACTGGGAAGATTATGTGATGACTCTATTCTGTATAATGGGGGGCAGGGGGAGTAAAGGAGGTTGACTAGCGGGGAGTGGGGAGAGAAAACCATCACTTCAATGATAATAATGTCATTTCAGTTGTGCTTCTTAGAAAATAAGACAATCGTTAAAAAAAAATTCCATATATTTGTAGATTTGCCAGTATATTTTTAGGTTTCTGATCAGTGAACATTGCCAGTTCTGATGCACATGAGGAATTTAGTTTGGAAAAATCTTTTTCCCCTCCTACTAAATATGGAAAGGTATTTTTTTCCTTCTGACAGATAAATGGCTAATCTACCACAATTATATTATTTTCTTGTGCAGAGGTAGGGAAAGTATACTTTTACTATGAGACGTTTGCTTTTTCTTGAAAAAATTTTTTTTGTGTGTGTGTGTAAAATTCAACATGCAATTATTTTGGGGCAGAAAAGCCTGTCATTGTTAAATTATGGTTCTTATGCATTTTGGAAGCAACTGAAAAGTTACAGGCTTTATAATCAAGATGTTTGCGCATTTTAAATGAAGCAACCAGTGAGATAAATATGTTAAGATTTGTCTTTTGGGTTGTTTTTTTTTTAGCCATATTTTATCATCTATCTCCTATTAAACATCCCTGATGCTATGAGGGCTCCTCATCTACATACTTTTTTTGGGTACATTCCCTCACATCTTTTTGGTCACCTTCATCTTGATTGTTGAAGTGCTTTCCTTTGTGAAAACATCCTCACAAATCTGCCTTCTTTCCAATGCCCTTAATTGTGACATTTCAAGTGAAGGAAATGGCTCTTTTTGAGGAAAAAAAAGTATTTAAAAATTTTTAATTGAAAATCCAGCATTTTAGTATATTGAAAAAAAATGTTGTATATTTTTAAAAAAATCAACACAGCCTTTTCCTTTTTTTAAGTGGTAGGTTAAAATACTCCATGTTGATAGCTGCCAACCAAACTCTGATTTATTGCCACCACAAACCCTAAATAGCGTTCATTTACTAGTAATGTCTAATGGCATACATGATGGTTTGCCAGATTTGTGGCCTTTGTGAGGCTTATAAGCAGGACTGACTTGGGAAGATCATAAAACTTAATGAACTTCTCTACTGCAGGAGGTGTCCGCAGGGGAAGGGAAAGGCCTGCTTGGCTGGTTGGGCTGGTTGAAGTATTTTTTATGTTTAAGGAGAAGAAAATGACTATTAAAAATGCTTTACTTTGAAAGAAATCCTTTATAGAAAGAGTCATAAGAATTTTAGATATCCAAATTGTATCAAGGATGTAGCTTGTGAGTTTTCATACGAATTTAGATTATGATTTATATGATTAAACCTTTTATCTTATCTTTACTCCTATAAGTGTGACTAGCTTTCAGAGGGACAAGACACTGTTCTCAGTCAACACCTCTCTATTTTAATTCTGTCCCTAAAGGTTTAGAGTCTCATTGGAGTCTTCTTTTTCTGGTCTGTTTCCTTTTATTTATGCTTCAATATTAAAATGTTTATTTATTTATTTTTGTACAGTGCAATGTAATTCTTTAAATCCCAATGTTTAAAAACCAAGTATTCCATCAAGTGAAAAATTAACAGGAAAGGTGAAAATGGTTATATGTAAGTCTAAATGTTATTGTATATGTCATATACATTCTTTTCAGTTGCTCTTGCAATATTTCCAACGTAATTATCATTATTTTAACAAAGCTTTAAAAACAAATGCACTGTTCCATACACGATTAACTTTGCGTTTTAATGACTATATGGACAGCTTTAAACAAAACATGTAGATAGAAGAGAAACTTGAATCCCCATGAACTCATCACCTACCATCATCAGGAACACATGGCTAACCTTGTTTTCTCTGTAACTCCCACCCTTTCACAATTATTTTGGAGCAAATTTTAGTGGACTGTTAATGTTTTAAATTTCCTTTCAGTTTTAGACATGGCAGGGAAAAATACAGAGTTAGTGTATCTTGGAACTATCACATTGCTTTGTCACAAAATTTTTTCTTAGAGCAATTTCAGAATATTTTCTTAATTATTTTTTTATATTTTTATAAATTTGTATAACTTACTGAAGCTTTTGAAAGAGGTTTTGAGGGAAGATGCAAAAGATGTTTTTCTAACTTTCTTTATTCTTCCTCTTCCAGCGTCATTAAGAATATTTGTAGAAAACCTAGAAAAAAATCCCACTATCATACTAGTTTAGAATGTCATGATCGTGTCAAATAAGTAGCATCTTAAAAATATAGGGCTGTCTTTCCCCCTTTTCCCCCAATAATACAGTGAACCCTCAAGTAATTATTTCATGCCTCAGCTTTAGTGAACTTCATTTTATTACAGATTTGTGTAGACTTTACTATGTTATTATATAAATTTACATAATT